CCTGCCCTCACTCCCCACCCACTGTCCTCATCCATAGGTGCACGATTTTTGTCCAGTCTCTTCCCGCATCTCCCACACCCCTTTCCCCCCAGGGAATAGTCAGTCCATTCCCTTTCTATGTCCCTGATTCTATTATAATCAACAGTTCATTCTGCTCATCAGATTATTTATTCACTTGATTCTTAGATTCACTTGTTGATAGATGCATATTTGTTGTTCATAATTTGTATGTTTACCTTTTTCTTCCTCTTCCTCTTCCTCTTCTTAAAGGATACCTTTCAGCATTTCATATAATCCTGGTTTGGTGGTGATGAACTCCTTTAGCTTTTCCTTATCTGTGAAGCTCTTTATCTGACCTTCAATTCTGAATGATAGCTTTGCTGGATAAAGTAATCTTGGTTGTAGGTTCTTGGTATTCATCACTTTGAATATTTCTTGCCACTCCCTTCTGGCCTGCAAAGTTTCTGTTGAGAAATCAGCTGACAGTCGTATGGGTATTCCCTTGTAGGTAACTGAGTTTCTTTCTCTTGCTGTTTTTAAGATTCTCTCTTTATCTTTTGCTCTTGGCATTTTAATTATGATGTGTCTTGGTGTGGTCCTCTTTGGATTCCTTTTGTTTGGGGTTCTCCGCGCTTCTTGGACCTGTAAGTCCATTTCTTTCACCAGGTGGGGGAAGTTTTCTGTCATTATTTCTTCAAATAGGTTTTCAATATCTTGCTCTCTCTCATCTTCTGGCACCCCTATAATTCTGATGTTGGTACGCTTGAAGCTGTCCCAGAGGCTCCTTACACTATCCTCGCATTTTTGGATTCTTTTTTCATTTTGCTTTTCCGGTTGGGTGTTTTTTGCTTCCTCGCATTTTAAATCATTGACTTGATTCTTGCGCTCCTCTGGTCTGCTGTCGGGAGTCTGTATAATATTCGTTATTTCAGTCCGTGTATGCTTAATTTCTAGTTGGTTCCCCAATATAAGATCGAGGGTCTCATTAGTTTTCTTGTAGATCTCATTAAGTTTATCGGCGGCTTCTAAACAGTTCTTGAGAGACCTTAAAAGTGTGGTTCTGAACTCTATATCTTCCATTGACAATTCTGTCCTGTTTCTTTGTCTCCGCATTTTGTTATGCTTCCTTGGTGCACCCCCTAGTGGTCTTTGTGCGCAGTCTTATAGTTAAACCTTGATTGTTGTAGCTAATACCAGGGAGGGTTTGGCCTCCAGGCCAAGTGGCTATGAGAATCAGCTGTGTCTGCAGTGAGAGAACTTCTGTCCTCTAGGGAGGTGCTAATCTAGCCTTTGCCTGAGGCTATCCGGCAAATGCCTGTGTGCAGGGCTTGGGCGGGGCGGGTCGCACAGGATCAACAGGGTGGGCCGGAGAGAGCAGTTATGGCGGCTCTCAGTCCCGTCCCCAGGGGCTCTGCCTTTCTGAGTCCCAGCACCCGCTGCAAACCTCGGAGAGAAAGCTGCACTCGCTCTGACCGAAGCCAGACAGTCCCGCTTCTCCCGTTTGAGTCTGGGTCCCTAAAGACTCGCCCGGATCTGGAGCTCAGCCCTCCCGATTGAAAACGCCAACCGCGCCCTCCGCCGCCAGCCCGCTCCGCGCACTCCGCACCTCAGAATTTGACTTCAGCACTGCGCCTCCTCTGAGTGTCCGAATGCGTTTCTCTTTCCTCCTAGTTGTAGGACTTCCACTCAGCCAGCGTTCCTGAGGTTCTGGGTGATGTCCGTTCCGTTTTTTAGTTTCACTTTTGAAGTAGTTGTTCAAGGCAGCAAACTCCGGCGTTAACCTATGCCGCCATCTTGGTTCTCCGTGCTCTTGATTTTTAACTCCACCTTATAAAATCCCAAACTGGAAATTGTTGAAGACATCTTATGAGCGATTTTTGGAACCCCCACCAGCATACCCATACCACAATAGAAGCCCTTAGCCCCACATCAAAGATTAGTGAAGTGCATGTGTTTTACATCAAAATAAAATGTCATTTTTCCCTGTCCAAGTCATGTATTGAATTGAAATGATTGGGGTCAGGGTGGGGGAACACTGTCTGTCTCCTTCACTAGATAGTGAGTTCCTTGAGACAGGGACCCCATCTTGCTGGTCTTGGTAGTACCTGTGCTTGGGAAGAGTGGATCCTAGCCCACTTTCTAAGGCAGTGGTTCTCAACCTTGGCTGTGCAGCCAAGGTTGAGAACCACTGTAAGGGCTTCTTGACCCAAGGGAACTGATGAACTTATTTTTGTACAGCGGGTTTCAATCATTAGGTCCCCGTGCATCGTAGCCACTAGGGGGCAATGTAGCTGCATTTCTTTGGAATGATTATGGAGGGGCAGTGCCTCCAAGCTTGTCCTCTAAAATGTGATGATTCCCCCGCCCCCCGCCCCCAAATGTGTTGGAGAACCTATGGCATAAATGTCTCACCAACACTGGCACTCTTTACATATATGTTTCCCTTGCTTATTTGGGTGAGCTGACTTATGCCATCTTTTCTAAACAAAAAGGACAAAGTCATAATCACCACCTCATTAAGTTAATTATTAAAGCCCATTGAGTTCCTGGAAGGAAAAACAAAAAAACAAAAACCTCATGCAAATGTTATGAGTTAAATGTTGTGAGTAGTCTCAAGGATTATGAGTCGGTACAATCAGAGTAGGCTGCAGTGTTTTACAGTGGAGCATGGGAGGGAACATTACTGAGAAAGTTATGCAGAGTGTGTCCATGTGAAAGGACGAGCCCAACCCTTCCTCCTTCCTCCTGAATGAGTCTTCTCCCACTTCTGATGCTCTGGAATCATAGGCTCCAAAAGTTAAGTTGCTAGTTGCTCATATGGTTTCAGAAGGAATGTCCTCTCCTAAGGTAGTGAGATGAAGAAGATTTCAAGACAATCCCTTTAAGAGAAAAACCGTGGGATGGTAAAAAAAAGAGTGAATATTTTGCCTCTTAGTGAGTTGCCATTGTTGCACTACAACTAAACTGACGATGTGTGATGTTAAAGGATCTTAAACAACCCGCAGCTTAGGCCCAACGGAGCTCAGGCCTCCTATTTCACAAGTCTTTGGAAGCAGTAAAATAATATCTGTTCGAAAGTACTATTTGAGAATTAATCAAACCTAAAACAAGGTAATTTACAATGATCATGGGTCTTGAAGTAGTTGACCTAGAGGCTGTGGTGCTATGCACAGAGCATTTGGGGTTTGAGTCTCAACTCTTAGTCTCAACACTAAGTTCAGATTCCCCCCTTCTCTCAGCACCGCAGGTTACATTGCCCACCTATAAATTACAGGGGAGTAGCCCTAGGAATTTACCTTTAACTTCCTTCTGTTTCAAGAATATGCGTTTGCCTTTAACTTTCTTCTGTTTCAGGAGCATGGGGTTTTTTAAAGGCAATGTGAAAAAGAAAACACAACAGTTATGCAAATTACTATTTCTCCATCGGTACTTAATTTACCTTTTCTCCTAGGGCAGGATCTGGCAGGGTTCAAGACATGGTTGGAACTGATACAAAAGTTTTTTTCTCCAATGAAATTACAATGGGATATTACTGTTTAAATCATATGAGTTCAAAACGTACTCGTTTGTGTCCAATACAGAAACTCAAACCCAGTATTTGCCCTCTAGCAGTTGAAGGGAGTGGTGGCAGCTTACTCAAAATGAGTAAGAAAATAAATATACTGACATTTTGACACTGTGAAAACATGTAGGCTGCCTTTTAAGTTTTTGACTCCTGATTTATGTCTCTTCTCCATCTTCCCATGGAGAAGGGCAGTCAGTGAACACTCAGATCTTCAGGTGTCTGTCTGGAGAGCTGGCTGTCTTCCAGAAATACAATTAGAGTAAACTTCTCCAGTCCTCTCACAGAAGGACGGCCAAAGTTGGAATGAGCCGTGTGGCTCTTGTGTATCTTCATGGTTCTTTCCCTGGGCTGTCCTATTCTGTTTGTGGCATTATGCAAGGAGCTAGGGTACAAAGGGGTGTGAGACCCAGTGATTGTCCTCAAGGTGCCTGTCACTAATCCCAGCTCCTCTCCTCCTTACCTCAGCTTGTCGGGACATCTGGGCTCTTTGGTAGAGTTGCCTCATGCTGTCCTCTGATAAAACCTTGGAGCCCTGAGGTCTAGCCTTAAGCCTTCTCACCTTGGACATCCTTCTGCTCTTTCCCACAGGGCCCATCCTGGTTGCCAAACACACAGAAACACTATAGGAATACTAGTATGGGGCGGGGGTGGGGGGGTGGGGGGGTGGGCGGATGGGGGAATGTGGACTGAAACGAGTCCCTGCGCTACCATTGGCCATCTTCTGGGGCTGGCCTCCTTACTTGACTTTGTGAGAAGGAGCAGGGCGTCAGCTGGCCCGTGTGTTCCACAGGAAAATGTGAGCTCCAAAGGAGTGCATGCATGTAACCCCCTTAGCACCACGCCTGGCACTTAATGCACGGGCCAGCAACGCGACTACATGATGTTATCATCATTGTAAGTGATGATACAGGCGTAGAGAACCTGGGCTCTCCAGGCCGACAGCTCGGCTTTGAATCCCCTCACTTGGAACATCGCCTCGAGAAAGTCTGAAAGCCTCAACCGCTTCATTTGTAAAATGAGGAGGATGTAGGGCACAATGCCTGGTGCGGGGACGCGTGAGACTGAGGCAGAGTTCAGCAGAGTGAGGATCAGTAAAGCTGGCCGTCGCTGCTAGAGCTGGGCGTCCATGCCCCCCTCCCCCCCAGCCCATGCCCACGAGTCCGGCGGGTTCAAGCATCCTTGTCCTTAACCAAATAAACTCTGGGCCCCAGAGGCAGGAAGACTTCCTGGAAGAGGCGCGGGGGTAGGGGGTGTAGGGGAGTAGGGGGGGCGAGGGGGTGGGGGCGGGGGGCGGGGGGTGCCCTGGGACCAGCTGAGAGTGGGAAAGGAAAGGCCGAACTTGACCCCGGGCTCCGCGCCCGGCCTGTGGGTCTGCCCCTCGGGCTGCCAGGTCCTGCTTCGGACCCGAGCTGGCCCAGCCGCTCCCGCGAGTAGGGAGCCCGGCCCGACCCCGCCCAGGCGGCGGCCCGGTCCCCTGGGCTGGGCGCTGCCGGCGGAGCCGACGGGGCGGAGAGGAGCGCGGCGGGAGGAGGAGTAGGAGGAGGGGGCTGGTCAAGGGAAGTGCGACGTGTCTGCGGAGCCTTTTTATACCTCCTTCCCGGGAGTCGGGCAGCAGTGCCGCCGCCGCCACCGCCACCCGTGCGTCCTCCGCTCCGCTCCCAGGAACCGGGCTCCGAGTCCAGCGCGCCGCGCGCCGCCGCAGCCAGCATGTCGGGGGTCAAGAAGCCGAGGACGGTAGGCTTCGAGTCGCCCGCCTCCCGCTCCCCTCCAGCCGGGGGGCGCCGAACCCCCCGGGGCACTGGGATCCCACCCTCCCCGGGAGGAGGCAGCCGCGGCGCGGAGGCTGGGGCGCCGGGGGGAGGAGGAGGAGGAGGAGGAGGGAAGCTGGAGAGCGGGCTCGGCCGGGATTCCCGGGGCAGCCCTCGCCCGCCGGCGCCCCTCCGCCCCGCGCCTCTAGGAACCTCCGCGCTCCGGAGTGGTCACGCCCCGGCCAGACCTCCGGAGCCTGCAGAGTAGGTCCCCATCAAGAGGAAGGACCACAGCTGGGATGTGTCCTTTCTTCCCAAGAGCTTCTCCAGACCCGCCTTTTCTTCTGTAGGATACCGAGCGGGTGGAGGGCCGAGCTGGCCCGGCTTCTGCCAGGTCTGGCCTCTGGGTGCACGCCAGCGACGGTCATTGGAACTTTGTCCATTGACCCTTCTTGGACTCCAGTGACGGACTTTCATAGAGGAAGCGGCAATTATCTAGACTTGCTGGAGGAAATTGCTCCTCTACACTGGCAGGATTTAACCCTTAGCTTAAGTCAGCTCCCTGTTGGCTCTGGTGGCACCTCAAGTTCAGTCATGGGAAACTCCTGGACTTGGAGTAAGATGAGGGGATTGTCTTGAGGAGGCTCCGTTTTATCCAGAATTAATCCAGGACATCGCTTTTATGGGAAACAGAGGGCTTGCCAAAGACAAAGGTTCCTTTTCCACTTAGCGATAGGGACTTCTGTAAATTTCACGTCCTTAAATATGGCAGCAGTAATCATAGACTCAAGGAGCCTTGTAGACAGCGTTTGGACCACACCCGAGGTGGTCGTCAAGCCTTCTTAAGATCCCAGCCAGCAGTCTGACTAATGGGCACTCATCTTTAGCTACCACACTGCAAGCCTCAGGTGATGGCGGGGGTAGCTCAATGGACTGACTTCTCTTAAATAGTTAAACTTGTGCTTGGCACATAGTAGGTGTTCAATAAATATTCATTACTGTAAATAGTAGTAATGTATCATTAATGTATCAGTAATGTATAATCGTATCATTACTATCCTATATAACAAAAGCCTTAATATGCTCAGTGTCCAGTCATCCAGTTGGCCATTCAACCAAAGTGTAATATGCAAATGATATGCTAAGGTCGCTCAACCACTTGCAATGACATGCACTGACCACCAGGGGTAGACACTCTGACCGGTAGGTTAGCTTGCTGCTGAGGTCCGGCTGATCAGGACTGAGTGAGATGGGCGGGACACACCCTGAAGCCCTCCCATGGTTCATCCCGGATGGCCAACCTCCATATCCCTCCCCCGCAGTGATCGTGCATTGGTGGGGTCTCTTGGCCTGGCCTGTGCCCTCTTAGAATCCAGGACCCCTGGGGGGATGTCGGAGAGCCGGTTTTTGCCTGACAGTGGAACCACCAGTCACTATGATGTGCACTGACCACCAGGGGGGCAGATGCTTAATGCAGGAGGGAGTGCTGCTCAGCCAGAAGCCGGGATCACGGCTGGTGATCACAGTGGCGGTGGTGGGAGCCTCTTCTGCCTCTGTGGCAGTGCTCAGGATGTCCGACTCCCGCGGGGAGCCAGCCTAAGTCGTCAGTAGGGCATTTCCCGAGGGCTCCCAGACTGTGAGAGGGCATAGACCAGCCTGAGGGACCCCTCCCTCAGTGCACAAATTTCGTGCACCGGGCCTCTAGTTAGTATTATATAATACTTATTACTGAAATATCTTTAAGGAGTATTTGTGATGGGTTGGAGGAGCAATGGAAAATCAAGAATTGGGGAAGGAGAGTGAAGGGGCCATGCAGGGGCTAGAAGTGTGGGCTTGAGCAGTAAGGTAAAGGGGGCCCTGTGGTTTCCAGGGACCACACTGGGCCAGCAAAGGAGGGTCCAGGAGGGAGGTGGCATCCATGTGAAAAGGGAGAATGGTCAGGATCTATCTGCCTTTATAGGAATGATTTTTAAAGTGGGGAGACTCTCAGTATTGTATATATTTTAAAAGTGTCAAGTGAAAATCACTTGTGTTTTAGGCCTATTTAATTTGATTAATTTCTATAAAATTCTAAATGGTACCTTCTAAATGACAAGCTACTGTGGCATTTAGTTGCCTTTTTATGTCAGTGGAGTTTTAAAGCTTCCTCCCTGCTTGCATCAAGAATTCCTTCCCACATCTGCTGGGGGTGGGAGGGCTTTTTCAAGCATTAGGAGGGAAGGGGCCCTGGTCTTTCCTCTTCATGCCTCTGGTTAGCAAGAACCCGTGAAGTGGAGGGTTTGAGAACTTGGAGGGTTTGAGAACGGGGCTTTACAAGCTGATAGTGGGAACTGCAGAGTCAAGTTTTCAGAGAGAATTTGAGGGCTGAAGGGTTTGGGTTCTGTATTTACACATTTTGAGCCTTCTAGCTTTTGTTTCGGTGGTGTGTGTGGGGGGAGGTCTTTCTATAATCAAATTAACACCTGATATAACTAACAGGACTTGTGAACTTTGATTTCAAGAACACAGTTATAATCCAGGCACCAGCAGCACAAGTTCCCAGAAGGACCAGGTAGATACTATAGGGTAGAGCAAGCCAGCTATAAATGTCTATGAAATCTCTGAAGCTTTAAATGTTCATTCGAAATGTATTTTGAAACCTTGCAGGCCAAACACAAATCTGTCCACCTGTGTGATTTCTCAACTAATTAATTATTTGACAGGTGAATCTTGCTGATACAGGAGGCTATCTAAAAGTGAGGACGCATTGCATTATTTTCTGCATTACCAGCAGAGGACACACTACAGTCACTGCTGTAACTTCAAATATTTGTTGAGTCCCTACTGTGTGCTAGGTAGTACACTGGGGTGAATACATCTTTCCCAGGATTTTCTGTCACGTTGATGAATATAGCCTTTCAATCCAGACCACTGTGAGAAGAGTAAGTACGTAGTTTTGGTTTAAATAAGAGAAAGTAGGATGATTTTCTCATAAGCTTGAGAAAAAGAAAAAGAGACATGTTCTTTTATAAGGGAAGGTGGCACATTCCTTTTTTGGAAACGTAGGACAGCTACATGTCACATCCCTTCCTACCCGCCTTGACTTACCTCCAACACTGGCTACCCCCACACCCCTTTCACACACACATAAACCTAGGAGAAGGAAGGAGGCAGACTGCTTCCAGAGGACTGGAAAGAAAGGCAAAGTCCTGGTCCTTTCTTCTTGCATCATTTCCTGGATTAGCATTTTCCGAGGCTGACAGACAGTTACTCAAAAGGTCAATAAGGTATTAAAATATTTTCCAAAGGATCAAACAAGCCAGTGGTTGGGAAGGAAGTGAAGGGGTATTGACAGTGTAACACTCTTCATAAATGCAACAGATTGTCTAGCTCAGTGGTCGGCAAACTCATTAGTCAACAGAGCCAAATATCAACAGTACAATGATTGAAATTTCTTTTGAGAGCCAAATTTTTTAAATTTAAACTATATAGGTAGGTACATTGTTATTAACTTAATTAGGGTACTCCTAAGGCTTAGGAAGAGCCACACTCAAGGGGCCAAAGAGCCGCATGTGGCTCGCAAGCTGCAGTTTGTCGACCACTGGTCTAGCTAGGTGAAGATGCTGCCTAAGGCAAGACATGAATTTCATGATGAGTAACTATTGCAGCTTCCTAGAGGCCAGGTACTCAGCCACACTGTATTTCATTTCATCCCCAGAGCAGCCTTCACCCAGGAAACTGAGCCTTATCTTTTAGGGGAGGAGAAATGACAAAAGCAGGACAGGATTTGAATTCAGATCTGTCTAACTTGGAGCACAGAATGGGAGTAACAATGACTTACCCTTTACAACTGTTCTCAGGAGTAAATAACTCCTAAAAAGTGTCTTGTACAGTTCCAGGCCCAGAGTAAGTAGCTATTGTTATTATTATTATTATTATTATTATTATTACACTGCTGTGGTCTGGCAAACAAGGAGAAGAAAGCACAAGTCATACCTTTCTGAAGGCTCAGTAAATGTCAGCCACCAGAATATTTATATAATCCTATATAATAAAAGCCTAATATGCAAATTGTCCCCTTGACCAGGAGTTTGACCAGAGGTTCGACCAGAGGGCGAGGCCGCCAACCGCCCTCGGCCCCTCCTCCCAGCTGGCTCCACCCCCGATCAGCCCTTCCCCCAATCGGGGGTGGGGCCAGCTGCCCAACCACAGGAAGGGAGGCCCTGGCCAGCAGTGGACAGGTGCTAGGGACCCCTTACCTGTGCACGAATTTCATGCACTGGGCCTCTAGTATATAATAAGAGTAAGGAAATGTTGAAGTGTAGAGGCTATTTAAATCCTTATTGTGAAAAGCTAGACAGGAGACAAAGGTTGATAATTAGTGTAAAAATGCACCAGAGTAACCCAAATATTAGCAAGACTTTGCCCACCACCTTGGCCAAGAAAGGCAATCTATGTATAAGTAAATTATGGACTAAATTCTTTCCACCCTTCCTGTGCCTTCAGCTGTCTCCAGTTCTACCTTAAAATTAATGTCCAATTCATGCTTTTCTCTTAAGATCATCTGTTTGGACTTTTACAGGTAAAGATAGATGTCCTTAACTCTGAGTTCAAAGTCTCTGGGGTAGTTTTCCTTGTCTTTCATCACTTTTTTGCTTCTGCACGTGGCTCTGTAGTTTGCTTAGGGGATAATTAGGCTTAACTTGAACATGGAACCTTTAGGGACTGAAAGTCTGGGAAAGGAATCAACAGTGTCGATCTCAGTCCTTGGAGATTACTGTGCGTTTCAAAATCTATCACTAAATAATGGACACTCACCGGTCCTCGTGTTGGAAGTCTTAGGAAAACACAGGAAGGAACAGTAAATACATAAATATAAATATAATGGCAGTTCAACTAACCTTTCATCCCTGGGTGATTTGTTCATATGACAGCTGAAATGGCATATGCCCAGCAGCCTGGCCTAGAGCCTGGCACAGAGTAGGTGCTCAGTAAATATTAGTTGCA